TTATGATTAAAACCCTCAGCAAAACTGGCACATAGTTATCATGTTATCTAAATTCAGGATAATAAAAGCCATCTATCACAAAGCCACTGCCAACATGCTGAACGGGGAAAAGTTGAAAGCATTTCCCCTGAGAACTGGAACAAGACAAGGATGCCCACTTTCACCAGTTCTATTTGACACAGTACTGAAGTCCTGTCCAGAGCAACAAACAAGAGGAAAAAAATCAAGGACATCCAAATCAGTAAAGAGGAAGTCAAACTATCATTGTTCGCTGATGATAAGATCATATACCTAGAAAGCCCTAAAGACTCATCCAAAAGCTCCTAGATCTAATAAATGAATTCAGTCAAGTTTCAGGATACAAAATCAATGTACACAAATCAGCAGCACTACTATACACCAATAGTGACCAAGCTGAGAATCAAATCAAGAACTCAACCCCTTTTACAGTAGCTGTAAAATACTGAGGAATATAGCTCAACAAGGACATGAAAGACTTCTACAAGGAAAACTACAAATCACTGCTGAAAGAAATCACATATGACACAAACAAATGGAAACATATCCCATGCTCAAGGATGGGTAGAATCAATATTGTGAAAATGACCACACTGCCAAAAACAATCTACATACTCAATGCAATTGCCATCGAAATACCATCATCATTCTTCACAGAACTAGAAAAAAAATCCTAAAATTCATACGGAACCAAAAAAGAGCCTGCATAGCCAAAGCAACAAGTCTAAGCAATAAGAACAAATCTTGAGTCATCACATTATCCAACATCAAACTATACTACAAGGCTATAGTCACCAAAACCAATCATGGTACTGATATAAAAATAGGCACATAAACCAATGGAACAGAATAGAGAACCCAGAAAAGCAGCCAAATATTTACAGACAACTGATCTTCGACAAAGCAAACAAAAACATAAAGCAGGGAAAATATACCATATTCAACAAACAGCACTGCGATAATTGGCAAGCCACATGTAAAAAGTGAAACTGGATCTTCATCTCTCACCTTATAAAAAATCAACTCAGGTCAGATCAAAGACTTAAATCTAAGACCTGAAACCATAAAAATTCTAGAACATAACACTGGAAAAACTCTTCCAGACATCAGCTTAGGCAAAAACTTCATAACCAAGAACCCAAAAGCAAATGCAATAAAAACATAAATAGTTATGTTTTTATTTTTTTTATATATTTTTTATTTTAGGAGTTAAACCAAAAAGTTTCTGCACACTAAAAGAAATAATCAGAAGAGTAAACAGATAACCTACAGAGTGGGAGAAAATATTCCCACACTGTGCATCCAACAAAGGACTAATGTCCAGAATCTACAAGGAACTCAAATCATCTATAAAAAAACAAATAATCCCATCAAAAAGTGGACTAAGGACATGAATAGGTAATTCTCAAAAGAAGACATACAAATGGCCAACAAACATATAAAAAAGCTCAACATCACTAATTATCAGGAAAATGCAAATCAAAACCACAATGCAATACCACCTTACTCCTTCAAGAATGACCATAATTTTAAAACCAAAAAATAATAGATACTGGCATGGATGTGGTTAAAAAAAAGAAGAAGAACATTTTTACACTGCTGGTGGGAATGTAAGCTAGTACAACCACTATGGAAAACAGTATGAAGATTCCTTTAAGTACTAAAAGTAGACCTACCATTTGATCCAGCAATCCCACTACTGGTACAGAGGAAAAGAAGGCGTTATATGAAAAAGACACTTGCACAGACATGTTTATAATAGCACAATTCGGGCTGGATGCAGTGGCTCACATTTGTAATCCCAGCACTCTGGGAGGCTGTGGCGGGTGGATTATGAGGTCAGGAATTCGAGACCAGCCAGGCCAACATGATGAAACCCAATCTCTACTAAAAATGCAAAAATTAGCTGGGCCTGAATGGTGGACACCTGTAATCCCAGCTACTCGGGAGGCTGAGGCAGGAAAATTACTTGAACCTGGGATGGAGGTTGCAGTGAGCCAAGATAATGCCACTGTACTCCAGCCTGGGTGACAGAGCTAGACTCAGTCTCAAAAAAAAAAAAAACAAAACACAATTTGCAATTGTAAAAAATATGGAACCAGCCCAAATACCTGTCAATCAACAAGTGGATAAAGAAATGTGGTATATATACACCACAAAACTCTACTCAGCCATAAAAAGGAATGAAATAATGGTATCTGCAACAACCTGGATGGAGGTGGAGACTACCATTATTCTAAGTGAAGTAACTAAGGAATGGAAAACCAAACATCATATGTTCTCACTTATAAGTGGGAGCTAAGCTTTCAGGACAAAAGGCATAAGAAAGATACAATGAACTTTGCTGAGTCAAAGGGAAGGGTGGGAGGAGATCAGGGATAAAAACTACAGATTGGGTCAGCGTCCACTGTTCAGGTGATAGGTAGACCAAAATCTCAGAAATCACCACTAAAGAGCTTATTCATGTAACCAAACATCACCTGTTCTCCAAAAATTATTGAACCAAAAAAATAATTATAAAAAATTACTCATTTTATTTCAATGGATACTTTCTTACTGTATTTATCAATTCTAACACAAAAGCAAGCAATGTACTTTAGTGGGAGAGAACTAAAAGCATTCTCATTCAGATCAGGTATAATAGGTATAATGTGAAGATGTCCACTATCATGTAGTGTGGTTTCAGATGCACTGGTACACATAAATAGAAAAGAGAAGAAGATGGAGTATATACATTAAAATTAAACACAGGAAAATAATTACTGTTTAGAAATGATATCACTATATATTTGGAAAAGCCAAAGGAATCAACTAAAAAAAAAAAAATCCAAACCTTTAAGAGAATTCAGTACAACTAAGTACAAACTGATATACAGAAATCACAAGCCTTCATGTGTACAAAGAAGAAAGCAGTTAGAAGATATAATGAAAAATGTTAACACTTTATAACAAACAGAAAACCTAGGAATAAACTTAATAAATGTATAAAATCTATATGAAAGAAACCTTAAAACACTTCTGAAAAACAAAAAATGAATTCGTGGAAAGATATACCCTATTGTCAATTCTTTATAAATTAGTAGCTACAAATTTTATGTAATCACAATAAAAAACACAACAGCAAGAATTAAAAGCAGGAGATGATAAAAGCTAACTCTAAATTTCAAATAAAAAGATAGCCAAGAAAAAAAAAAAAGCTAGGGTATTTCTGAAAAAGAAAAGTACCTTCGAAGGAATTAGCTATTATTAACATGTATCACAAAAACACAAAAATGAAAACAATGTTACTGGATGCATAGATAGATCAGTATCACCAGAAAAAAAACATTCTAAAATAAAACTTTCGTAGTATGTCACAAAATCCAGAAGCCTTAAACATTCACCTTATTTAAAAAGCCTGAAAACACACACACACACACACACACACACACACACACCCCAAAAGCCAAACAGAGCTAGGAGCAGTGGTGTTGGAAGGCTTAGGTGGGAAGATGGTGTGGGCCCAGGAGTTTGAGACCAGCCTGGACAATATTTAAAAAAAGAGAGAGAGAGCTGAGCATGGTGGCTGAAACCTATAATCCCAGCACTTTGGAAGGCCGAGGCGGGTGGATCACTTGAGGCCACAGGATTCAAGACCAGCCTGGCCAACATGTTGGTGAAACCCCATCTCTACCAAAAATACAGAAAATTAACCAGATGTGGTGGCGGGCAGCTGTAGTCCCAGCTACTTGGGAGGCTGAGACAGAGGAATCACTTGAACCCGGGAGGCAGAGGTGGCACTGAGCCAAGATCGCACCACTGCTCTCCAGTCTGGGCAACAATGCAAGACTCCATCTCAATCAATCAATCAATAAGCGAAACAGGAAGAAATGTTTAGAACTCACATTAGACAAAAAAGCTAATTTTTAAATTGGGAAGGGATTTCTACAAAACAACTTTTTAAAAAGCAGAAAAGAACTTAAAATAAAAACTGATCAAGCATGTGAACAAATAACAGAAAATGCGAAGGATTTTAAATATAGAAATATATTCAACCTTACTAATAATGGAAGAATTGCAACTACACTGACATTGCTTTCTCACCTATAAGACTGCCAAAAAGTACAAGTCTTTTAACACACTCTGTAGACAAGTATGTCGGGAATATAACACTTTCATCACTGATAGTAGAAATGAAACTTGGTACAATCTCTTTAAGGCTACTTGGCAAAATTATAAATGCATATCCTTTCGCTCAGCAGTTCAACTTCAAGGAATTTATCCTAGAAATATACCTGACTTGTATAAACTAAATATAAAGAAAGAAATAGACTTGACATATGTATAAACTAAATATGTACGACATTTTTTACTGTAGAATCATTTTATGTAAAGGAAGAAATTTTTAGCAAAATAAATGTCCATCAGTAGAAATTTTGCTAAATATAGTACACCCATACAATGCTATTACTAACAACAATGAAGAAACCCTTGGAAAGAGTATCAAAATATATTAACTCTTCTGAAAAAAGGGGAAAGAACAAGCTGTAAGGAACAGTAAGATTTGTACTGAAACACACAAACACACACTTTTTATGAATTACGTGTCTGTCTAGATGCCACTGGTCTCGGCTTCAAATTGTCATCTTATTAAACACATAAATGAAGTTGTTCCATCCCAAGTCCATGTACTAAACCAATTCAGTACAGTTTCAATAAAAGACAGAAGAAGGAAAAGAATGCCAGTTCAAATACTTTGGCAATTTACAAGGCGCTTGTGAGAAACAGCATGAGCACTATTGGAAGATATTAACAGTGTTTAAATTTTCAAAAACTGATTAGATAGAGCAATCTACCTACTGCAACAACAGTTCCAAATTACTAATCACAAAAACATAAACGAGGAATGAGCAAGAAACTCTGACAGCATTAAATTTGACTTAGTGGTAGGAGTGAGGATGTATGACGAGGGGGCCACTGAACTCAAAACACCTACACCTTACCTTCTTCTGAAGAACATTAACCTTCCGCTCCTTCACGTCCAACATGTCCTTGAGGTCATGTATCTCTCCAGCTTGTGTCCCCTTCTCCTCAGCCATATCCTGAATTTGTTTTGTCTTTTTATTCAACATGGTTTCCTTCTCTTCCAAACGCAATCGGAGAGCATCCACCTAAGAATAAGAATGTAAGAGTTTTACAAGTGATGAATTAAAAATAAAAGAATGTAATTCCTTTCAAATAGGTAAGTTATAAAGGTTACAAGAAGGTTACATTTTGTTATGCTATTAAACTGGTATAATCTACACTATGTTTCTCTGGATTCAGAGTCCAGTGTGCTCACCATTATAGAATGGAATCTCTACAACTATGCTTCTCAAACTTCATGCGCATCAGAATCATCTGGAAGGCTAAATCAAGATTGCCAGTTCCAGCCCCTAGTTTCTAATTTAACAGGGTTGGGTTCAAAATTAGTATTTCTAAGAAGTTTCCAAGTGAAGCTTGGAAAGTCTAAAGTTTAAACTTTAGAAAGTCTAAACCTAGGAAAAGGAAACAAAAAAAAAAGCATCACCAAGCATAACACTGGCTCTATCAGATAATACAATCTAGTCATAAGCTATGATGCTTTTATGAAAAACAACCCGATAATGCACTTAGATATCCATACAAAGCAAAAGTAAAGGTCTACTTCTAGACAGCAAGACTAACGAGCTAAAATGTCTGGTATCTAGTTAACTTTATCCCTGAAGTTTAATGCCTTTCATCAGATATAACTTTAAAATAACAGGAAATTTAATGATATTTATGTTAAAATCTATTCACAAGAAATTTTATTAAGCTTTTAGCACCCCATAAATATTCACACATCAAATTTGTTTTTTGCTTTTCCACCAAGGATTAATAACAAATAGTTAAACATTTGATTATAAGAAAAGAAGAAAGTGGATTTATCTAAGACAGTGCTGTTCAACAGGAAAATAATGAGTCATATTTTCAAGTCTAAAATTGTTAATAAGTTGTTACATTATTTTTTCCTTTCAAACATACAATCCATATAAAAACTATTAATGAGCTATATTTTTTCATACTAACTCTTTGACATCTAATGTATATTTCACATTCATATCACATCCCAATTTGGGCTAGCCACATTGCAAGTGCTTAATAGTCACAATGGCTGGTGGCTACCACATTGAACAGTGCAAATCTAAGAAATCAAGTATGTTTCTATGGTCTCTCATCCTTAACTTGTCTTATCTTATTTTTCCTTTCTCACCATGGATTAAGCCACAAAGACTAAATATTTCACATTTAAGGTACATCAAAGCACTCAGGAAGATCTAATAATACAGGTTGACCATCCCAAAATCTAAAAATCCAAAGTGCTCCGAACTCCTGAACTTTTTGAGCACTGACATGACACTCAAAGGAAATGGTCACTGGAACATTTTGGATTTTCAGATTAGGAAGACTCAACCAGTAAGCATCAGTGTAATGCAAATATTCCCAAACTCAAACCCTGAAACCTTTCTAGTCCCATGCATTTTAGGTAAGGGATATCCAATGTGTAGTGTATCTAAACTACGGGGTATCTGAGAACCAATACTGTATGGTAATATGGTGGTACTTCCTGCTCTGTTAAGTAGTATGGAAAATTTCTTTCTTTTTTTTTTTTTTTCCTGAGACGGCGACTTGCTCTGTCACCAGGTTGGAGTGCGGTGGCACTAACTCGGCTCACTGCAATCTCCACCACCTCCATGTTCAAGCAATTCTCCTGCCTCAGCCTCCTGAATAGCTGGGATTACAGGCATGTACCAACATACCCAGCTAATTTTTGTATTTTTGGTACAGATGTTGGTCCACCATGTTGGCTAGGTTGCTCTCAATCGTCTGACCTTGTGATCTGCCTGCCTCAGCCTCCCAAAGTGCTGGGATTACAGGCGTGAGCTGTAATGCCCAGCTAGAAAACTTCTTAAGGGACTAGTCTCATTGGAGACTGCTATACTAAGTACTTGCTACTGCTGTAAGTACTTACGAATTATGTTGGACTGTACTGGAAAGGAAAAACATGTAGATAAACCATATTTCACTCTGCTAAACTACATTTCTACCAACAACTTCTATGCAACCAGTCTCACCAAGCCAGAAAGTAGGGAACAATCATTTGAGCTCCCATTTATAATTCTTCACCACAAGTTTTACCGTGCTCCTTCAAGAGACTTTCATTTGTAATTTAACTCTATTCTACTTTAATAAATATACATTGTTAACCTAATTATAATCTGGAAAGATCTACCTGAGAACTTTCAAACTCTAAAGATCTTTTCTTCTGAATCACAAATACTATTCTTTTCTTTCTTCTACACCTACTAAATTGACCCTTTGTCCATAGCATGACTTCTATCATCCTTTTTTTGTCATGCGTCTCTATTCTGTTTTTGTTTTCCACCCAGCCCAAGCAATGATTTCAAACAGTCTCATATCTCCTTTAAAAAAAAAATCTGATTTTTAAATAAATAAATTTATTTAAATGTTTAAATTTAAATAAATTACTACTTTATTTCTGAATTGAACAGTTTTCTGGATCTTCCTGCATGCGTTCATGTATATTCTCATCACAATATACAGTAATCCCCCCCCTTATCATCAAAGAATACAATCCAAGACCCTCAGTGGATGCCTGAAAGCACAGACAGCCTACACATACTATGTTTTTTCCTCTATATACATACCTATTGGATAATAAAATTTCATTTACAAATTAGTCACAGTGAGAGATAAATAATAACTACTAACAAAACAGAATAATTATAACAAAATACTACTATCATTACTATTGTGCTCTGAGGCCATTAGATAAAATAAGGGTTATGTGAACACAAGCACTGAGATAGTGCAACAACAGTCAATCTAATAACCAAGACAGCTACTAAGTGACTAAAGGGCAGGTAGTGTGGATACATGGATATACTGGATAAAAGGATGATTCACATCCAGGATGGAATAGAGCAGAATGACACAAGATTTCATCACACTACTCAGAAAAAAGCATAATTTAAAACCTGTATGCTGTTTTTCTGTAATTTCCCATTCAATATTTTTGGACCACAGTTGACCACAGGTAATAGAAACCAAGGAAAGCAAAAAAGCAGTTAAGGGAGGACTACTGTATACAGTACATTAAAATCCTCACAGTTCTATTCTCAGGTATTGTATTTTTTCCTTTGCATTCTTCCTGTGGAAAATGTCACACTCTTCATGGCAATGTGGGAAACTGGGCCTTAGAGAAGGTAGCAGGCTCAAGATCTCACAGCTACAAATAAGCGCTAGAACAGAGATTTAAGATTAAATGGTTTTGCCTCCAGATCCCACAGTCTTAACCACTAATTTTCAAATCCATCCTACCCCCCAGAATGCCAGCAGGGAATTCAAGGCCCTCCATGGTCAGATGGTCCCAATGTATTACCACTGCGTAACCTTTACCATATGCCTCCTTGCCCCACTTCCAGTGACTCCCTTTTCCAGCACTACTGCCAGTCTCTGAATAAATACCATTTTCTTTCTTTCTTTCTCGTCATTGTTCACATTTTGTCCTATACTTGTAACATCCTTAACCTCTAACACTTAAAAAAAATTCTGCCGGAGAGGACTCAAGATGGCGCTGTGAGAACAACCCAGGATTGGAGCTCTCATTGAATCCGCAAAGAGGTGAGTCCGAGCTGCATTTTTAGACTGATCTTTGTTGCCCACAAAACGGGGAAACTCCCAAGTATAGAAAAGACACGGGACGCCAGGCAGTAAGTCTGCCTGGCGAAGCCGGCAGCCGGGGCGGCGGCGGCCGGCCCTACCCAGCAGTCCCCACAGGGCGCGCTTGTCTGGGTGCCCTGTTGAACCGGCAACCTGAGACTTGAGAGGGCTGGACTTGAGACTGAACGAGACTTGGACAGTAGGCCAGCCCAGGGGATTGCAGGGACAGAGCGTTCGGGATACCCAGTGGGATGAACAAAACCGCGATTTCAAACTATCCCGAGCAGACGGTCCGAGACGCTCTGTGGGGGAGGGGCGTCCACCACTACCGAGGCAACCCACCCCAACTGAGATACACGCCCACTGCTGACGCAGCCTGCCGTTGCCGAGGAAACACGCTACAACGAAGAGACTCCGCCACAGGGCGTGGCGGAGACCACAGCAGAGCCTGCAGGAACAGGGCGAATCACACAACAGCAGGGCGGAGTCTCGGCAGGCAAACAGTGGCTAGTCTGCCTCCTAGCTGGGCAGGACACCTCAAAGAACATCGAAAAATAAAGCCCGAACCCCCCAACACAGAGCATTTGAGAAAAAAGGGTTTTTTTAATGAGCTCTGTTGCAGCAGAATCAAACATAGCAGCCTAACAGCCCTGAATGAACAACAGAGCTCACAGCTCAGAAATTGAGCTCCTAAAAAGAACAGACTGTCTCCTCAAGCAGCTCCCTGACCCCTCTATATCCAAAAGACTGACATTTGGCAGGCATCATCCTGGGACAAAGATAGCAGAAAAAGAAACAGGTAGCATCCCTCGCTGTACCACAGCTGCTAGAGGTGCACCCCAGACAAGCAGGGCCTAGAGTGGACCTCAGCAGTCGTACAGCAAAGGGGTTAGGCTGGTAGAAGGAAAACCAAGTAACAGAAATACTTCATCATCAACAATCTGGGTGTCCACTCAGAGACCCAATCGAAAAGTCAGCAACGACGCAGACAACAAGCGGATAAACCCACAAAGATGGGATAAAACCAGCGAAAAAAGGAGGAAAACACCCAAAACCAGAACACCTCGCCTCCTAGAAAGGACCAAAACTCCTCACCAGCAAGGGAACAAAGCTGGACGGAGAATGACTGTGATGAAATGACAGAATTAGACTTCAGAAGGTGGATAATGAGAAACTTTTGTGAGCTAAAAGAACATGTATTAAATCAATGCAAAGAAACTAAGGAACTTAAAAAAAGATATGAGGAAATGATAACAAGAATGGATAACTTAGAGAGGAATATGAATGAATTAAAGGAGCTGAAAAACACAATATGAGAACTTCGCGAAACATGCACAAGCTTCAATAGTCGAATTGACCAAGCAGAAGAAAGAATATCTGAAGTCGAAGACCAACTCAATGAAATTAAACGAGAAACCAAGATTAG